TTCCTAGGAGGCGGGAAATGAGCTTTCCCGACTTCTTAGGTGTCTTTTAATTACTTTTAAGTTCTTCAAAATTCAAGGTTTTCCCCCTCTTGAAAATGTTTCAATGAATCAATGAACCCCAAAGAAAAAGGGGGTCCGGGTTCTCCCGGGAAAATTTCGATTTCTAGATGGCGGGAACTGAGCTTTCCTGACTTCTGAAATGTCTTTCAAATGACTTTTTAAGTTCTTCAAAATTCAAGGTTTTCCACTCTTGAAAACGGTCAGGTAAGTATTTTCATTTTTTATTTTATGTGTGTATACATACCGTACATAAATAACTGAGTAGTTGCATTTTGCTTCCTAGATGGCGGGAAAGGAGATTTCCCGACATGCATTTGAAGTGTGTTTTAATGACTTTTATTTTCTTCAAAATTCTAATTTTCTTATTGTAACCAAAAAAATAAATAAATATATAAATAAAATTAGCTCCACGGGTCCTAAAAAGGTGGGTATAGAATTCTGTTTTTTTTTTCTTTTTTTTCTGTTGTCCAAGGGAGGGGTCAGGACCCATGACCTCTCCCACAGATCCGCCAATGTGAATTGCGAGAATGTAACGCGGTCGGGGACTGGATAAACATTCTCTTCCTCATCCTTCTCCTCCATCTTCCCTCTTTCTTTTCTTGCATTTCTTTCCGATCATACAAAAACCTCCAAACATTATATTATTTTTGCCAAAATGTGGTGGGGGGGGGGGTAAAATTCATCATCAGCAATTTTCGGCAATCATTGAAATCTAATTAATCTCTGTGATGTACCATAGAAATTAAAAAATTAAAACATTGTCTCATCTTTACACGTCTTGTCATACTTCTGGGGCGGATTGCTATAAGCAGTCTTTAGACGGTCTTAACGGTTAGCCAGCTATAATCGTGACGTCACTACTGGTCTATGATTATAGACCATTGCTATACCGCGGTCTAACCAGTTAGCCTTCCACAATTTTAAAGCCTACTCGGAGGAGACTTAAAACAGTCTTAAATTATTTTCATCATGGCGTTCTGCTGATTAATTCAACAGTGCAATGGCAAGACTTAGACCTAGATCGTCAAAGTCGGAAAATCGTACGACGAATATTCTCCACGCTTCTCAGCGTCTGTAAAAATAGGTCTACGTTTATTTACGTTCATTTCGATACATTTGCGTGCGTCGAGCACTCATGACGTCGCCACCAGTTTTACGTTACCAGGGTGTGCTTGTTTGCGTTTCAATACTCAACAAAGCGGTCTTAGGGAACACTGTTTTATAGCAATGGTATTAAAGGAATGACTTTAGTAAGACCGTCTAAGTGATAAAGCCGGCTTTATTCAAGACTACCGGTTAAGATCGTTTTATAGCAATCCGCCCCTGAAATTATAATAAAGACAAGTGCACTCGGGTCGTGTATATTGTAGGTAATTCAGATGTTTGTGAGCAGAGATATATATCTTGCAATAAAATAAGATGAACTCTGGCTGTTGAAACCTGGTCATTTATGCAGTACATTTCAACAATTTTCAGATCTTCTTGATTTATGAAATTACATTGCGGTCGAAAAGTGGGGGAGGCGGAAGTGCGAAAGAACACCCCTCAAATATATGTGAGGGTGGGTACAGTATTTCTTTTAAACTTTGTTTTTCCTATTGTAAAATATTTCGCATATTTCATAGACATTCTCTAATACATGTTCGTCAAAATCGAAAACTCCTCGTTCGGATGACCACGTTCCTTTTTCACAAACTCGAATGCGTTTACGACGACTCAAAATTGCATGCGTAGAAAGTAGGCCTACATTGTTTTGGGCACGGCAGCATAGGGTTGGCACTGCGGGTTTACGAAAGGTCCAAAACACATCAACAACATACCTATTTTCAGAAACTTGTGGCAGGGTTTAAATTTAATGAAAAACATAAATCAGTAAGACTACCAACAATTGGCAGAATTGAGTTAAATGTTTCTTTAACCAGTTCGATACATATAACTTTTCAAAGGAAATTAAAGACAGATTTGTTAAACTTGAATTAATAAAGATTATGTAAATATAATTAAAATTGAAACAAATGTTGTATAAGATGTCTACTATCCCATAAGATATTATTTCATTTAATCTTAAATTCCTGACTAATAGATCACAGTTTGTTAAGCTTAGCTCATCTGTCTGTTCTGATATGATTATTTCAAATACTGGTGCACCACCAGGAACGGTTTTAGCTCCATTTTTACTTACTTAATATAGAAGTGATTATAGATCCAAGCTTACTTTAAGCCCTTTGGTAATATTCGCAGACGGCACTGTGACGATTGGTTTGATTGAGAAAGATGGTTACACTTATTATTTAAATTAAGTGGGTAATTTTGTTAAGGTTTAACAGAGATCATTTTCTATAAATTTCTATTGAAATTGTTTAATTATTATTGTTAATACTTGTCTTTCTATATTGACTGATTAAAAGCCTCTCCCATATATTTTATTTTTTTAATATTATATTTTTAAATATTCTTGTATATATTTATATATTTTTATAATAATTAGTTAATTTAAATAAACTAAATTAATTAATTAATTGTAACAATTGTAATTCATTATAACCAGACTTATTATTTGGTGGATTATTTATTTTAAATTGAACATCAATGCTACAATGGGGGATAAAAAAAATTATTAATCGGGTTGTTAAAAACGTTGAGAGGATGGGGAGTTTGGGTCAGCAGTCCGTCTGAGTCTCGAGTACTTTTTGGAGTTGTGTTGGACGACAAAAGTCATCCATTACATTCTGAATTGGCTAGTTTCAGAAGTGCTCGACCTCCATTTTAAGTCCTTATCCGAGAAGTGAGTCTCACTTGGCTGGGAGTGCAGCCACCTAGAAACCACCTGCGGGGGTTCAGGAGGCGAAGCCCCCTGGAAGCTACTGGTATTTGACGAATTTTGGTGAACTTTTATTAGTTATTTGACATCAACCGTAATATGACATCATGTATGTTTACCCCTCGGCCACTTGAGTCGCTTTTAATTTTTTGAGTTCGGTATCTTATAAATATTTTAAAGGTATTACCATGCATCTATTACCTTTTTTCTTTTTTTAAAGAGTTCGGACGAGCATTGTAATAATTTTCTCTTTTTGAGAGTGAATAAAGATGACTTTAACTTTAAGCTAATACAAGTGTATTTATACCATCATCGTCGTTGTCACCGGTGCCGCCACCATCATCATCACCACCATCACCATTATGATCATCATCATCAGCGTGCATTAAATACAAATCTAGTATTAATAAAGGCGAATGAGATAATCAAATACAAAACAAAATTGACTACATACATATTTTCACAAATATAATTAACATTTTTGGTTAAACGTGGCTTGTGTCCATGTAAATGACAACGCAAAATGATTTGCTCTACTAATTTTTAATTAGTAGAGTCATTGTGGCTTAATTAAAACAGTGAAGCTGGACGTAAGACTTAACAGAAGTAAGTCTATCAGATTAAAAATGTATGTATTTATTAAATTGTGTCAAGACAAAAGAGGAAATTAGACAAATTTTAATATCAAATTTAATAAAAAGATAGTACTGTTGCAGTGTACTGTGCCTTTTTGTTATAAGCCAACATTTTCAAACACATTAAGTCTGTATAAAAAGCCTGCATATAAAACATATGACAAAAACAGAACGTCAGATTAGGCATATACAATAACTAGAGTATTTATAATGATTCATTTTTTTAAAGATACAAAACAATATAATTTACAAGATCAATATTTACCGAAAACCAACCACGGCAAATCTTTTGGCAAACACGTCCAACGTCATAATCATAATGTATATAAACACATTAAAATGCCGGAAGCAATAATAAGTTAAGTTCTAATGAATGAGGTATCCAAAACAGAGGAATGTGCGTGTGTGAATATAGTGCAGGCACATAATGTATTTTTCAATGCTTTAACGCTAATCTAGGGGTGAAAAAAAAGGTTAGTACCTAACTGAGCTATTGGGAAATTAATGAGAATTCGATTCCGGTTAAAAACAAAAAAAACACAATCACAATCATATTTACGTGCGTATAACCAAGCTAGTTCTCAACGAACTGAGATATTCAGCATTTTAAACAACATGACGAGGCCTCCGAAAATATATATTTTATTCATAATACAATAGATAAACTCCTGTCTCTTATACACATCTAGATGTGTATAAGAGACAGGACTTATTATTTGGTGGATTATTTATTTTAAATTGAACATCAATGCTACAATGGGGGATAAAAAAAATTATTAATCGGGTTGTTAAAAACGTTGAGAGGATGGGGAGTTTGGGTCAGCAGTCCGTCTGAGTCTCGAGTACTTTTTGGAGTTGTGTTGGACGACAAAAGTCATCCATTACATTCTGAATTGGCTAGTTTCAGAAGTGCTCGCTGTCTCTTATACACATCTAGATGTGTATAAGAGACAGGGTCAGGACCCATGACCTCTCCCACAGATCCGCCAATGTGAATTGCGAGAATGTAACGCGGTCGGGGACTGGATAAACATTCTCTTCCTCATCCTTCTCCTCCATCTTCCCTCTTTCTTTTCTTGCATTTCTTTCCGATCATACAAAAACCTCCAAACATTATATTATTTTTGCCAAAATGTGGTGGGGGGGGGGGTAAAATTCATCATCAGCAATTTTCGGCAATCATTGAAATCTAATTAATCTCTGTGATGTACCATAGAAATTAAAAAATTAAAACATTGTCTCATCTTTACACGTCTTGTCATACTTCTGGGGCGGATTGCTATAAGCAGTCTTTAGACGGTCTTAACGGTTAGCCAGCTATAATCGTGACGTCACTACTGGTCTATGATTATAGACC